TTGTGACATCTATTTATGACCGTTGGTGTGAGTGCTGGTTTGAATCTAGGTATCAAGAAAGGTAAAATTCTCCATTAAGATAAGGGTCAATGTTTTATTTCTCCAGCTCATATAGGATATATTGCTTTAATAAAAATAAGTGTGGGTCCTTGCTATACAGCAGAGCTCTGAGAGAAATCTGAAGGAACATTTTGTCAGCCTTTTGTGTCCCCTTTTGGCCTTAAGATGGGTGCTGAGTGTCAGGCTATTTTTTATTAAAGCATAGTCATAATGTGGCATTGCTAAACATAATAAAAAAAGTGTGGGTCCTTGCTATACAGGAGAGCTCTGAGAGAAATCTGAAGGAACATTTTGTCATCCTTTTGTGTCCCCTTTTGGCCTTAAGATGGGTGCTGAGAGTCAGGCTATTTTTTATTAAGGCATAGTCATAATGTGGCATTGCTAAAGAACACAGTTAAGGAAATGCATCTTTCTTCATATTAAAGAACATCTTGCTTAAGTCATAGGTAATATTTAGTCATGATATGTTGATATTCTCTATGGTCAGATTAATTAATGATTATAAAAAAGGTAAAGAGGCTGAATAACTGACAGAGAATTAATGTATCTGTCAATCATTAGAGAAGCTTCTTTTGTAATTGATGGTGACCAATGCAGGGACTCAAACTTGTCAACACGGAGAGAATCAGAGACTGTGGAGTGCTCTGCTCTAAATGGGACATCTGAATCACATTCCATTTTCCCAAGGCTAGGAACCATTAACAGAGAGGGGATGGAAAGTTGTAAGAGCCAGATGTAGTGGAAGTATGAAGAAAAATAGTATTTGATGTACATGACAGGGCTTATGCTTACTTAACTGACAGTTGCTTAGAGTGTGTGTACAAGGTGTGCATACACACAAGACCAGCTTAAGACCATACAAAACCCAGGATGGATGTGGGAAGGGCTTATAAAATCCCACCACTGACTAGGATCTATTGACAATTTATTGCTGCTTGGAGAGGGAGAATCAGTTTTCTTCAGGGATGGGGCTCTGAAGCTACCCATGTTCCAGTATATGGTCACACACCCATGGACACAGGCAGGACCCTGAACTTCATTTGCATAAAAATAAAGCATGTGAATGTGAGAGAGAAAGTTGGTGGAGGGATAGGAGAGGAATTGGAGGGAATAGGAGGTAGATTTGGTTAAATACATTTTATGTCTGTATGAAACTCTCCAAAAAATAAAATCCCTATTCCAAGGTAATATTTTTTTTGTATCAATTTCCTTGAGTGGTAAGTAGAATTAATTGAGTGGTAAGTAGAATTAATTAGTTCATTAGAAGGTTAAACAGAAAAGTAGGTTATTCCCAGGGTAGAGAATAGTCAGTACTTAAAGAATATTATTAGTTTTTACAATATTAGACATTTGAGAGGTAGCTAGCAACTGCTTCAAATAAAGTAAATTATGTGACTTTAAAATTTGTTATTCTCACTGTTAATATTTTGCAGCTTATAATGGTAAGTATTATATTTAATCTTGATTCAAATATGTAGATATGAAATGTCTTTTCTCCTGATACAAGTATATTTTTAAAGTATATGTGGTTTTATATGGGAAATAATATTTAATAAAAGAAAATTTAAAATGTATTAAATTTTTAAATTAAAATCTAAAATGTATTAACTATCAAATCATTGCATTATATACTTTTCTGTATATAATTTAACTAACATTAGAGAAGAAAGAAAACTACCTCATTACATAGTAAGCCTATGTACTACAGATTGTAATCAACGTCATTTTCCCTATCATCATTTAAAATTCAATATTTATTAATACTGCTTTAAAAAATCACTAGCATCAATTTT